GTCACTAGCCCAATATCAAAAAACAGCAACGGCAACGGTCTAGCCAGAGATTTGGAATTGGATGAAGATGGAGTTTCCAATCGACATCCTCTCATCAGTCATTAGGGGATGAAAGTAATGTGCGAACAATGTGAATGGCAACACGGCAGGCTCCTCGCCGATACCCTTCGCATTCGCACCGCGGCAAGGCTCCATTCAGCCTGCGTCGCTTCCCGTTCCCAGAACTGCTCCTTGCACCGGGGTAACTAAAGTATAAGCTCAAGGAAAATTTTTTGTTTCTCATTTTCTGGGATTAACTTTTCTCAATGTATTCGGATTCTGCATAAAATTTCAATCAAAGTGATATAAAAAAAAATCCAAAAAGTCAATTATTCACCCAGGAGAAAAATGTTTGGTATTCTGAATATTTATGAGGAGAGCAAATCAATTAATTATCAGAACTAAAGCTGCCATTTTTTTTTTTCCCCTGCCACCACAACGCCTAAAATGGATCCAAGTCTGGGAGATGATATGGCTTGAGGAAGTGAGTGTATTGTTGGGTTGGGAAAGGTACCAGCAAGGAGCTATTTTGGATCACCGGAGAGAGCAGTTAGTCCAAATGTTGAATGTTATCAAGGAAATGGGCCTAGTGCTGTTTAAACGGAACATTTCATTAATGAGCCCACCATTTTCGTAAAATTCGCAATGATGATCAGAAAGTCTATTATGTCTATGTATAGAAAAAATGAACCACGGTGAATAGAAATGGTTTACTAAAGGGTTTGTCATGTCGCAGTTTTTCAATTTTTCTCAGTTTTAAATGCAACTTTGACAGCTGGTCGAGTGTATTTCGTGATTATACTACGGTTTTAGGGGTGCACGTGTACCAGGAAATTGTTGAGCTATTTAATGTTTTTACCTCGGTGTTCCGCGGTTATCAACATCCATAATGTAGGGAGGAACCCAGTAGATGTTCAACGCTCCCGTGCGTGGGGGAAACACGGTTATTAATTCCGCATAGCACTTACGGCTTTCTTGCCTAAAACTAGCCGAACATGAAAATAAATAAAACCCTATTATTATGAATTTGAAATAAAATCGGTCAATTTTTAATCATCCAAACAATTTCTGGGAGTCTTTCGGACGATTAGTGATATTTGAGAAAGAACGGAGGCCTCTTTCAGTACAGTTTTCTGGTCAGACGCTTCTGAGCCCGTTCTATCAAAATTTCATGTTTGCAGTCACTATCTCTTCGCTATTAAGTACAGTAGAATACCAGAGGGTCCGCCTTTCGCCTGCTCTGCGGTCAAACGTACGGGGATTAGTGTCTAATGTGAAGTATCGAGAAATCATGAAGAAACGTAATGCAACAAACAAATCGAAAGCACAATGGTATGCGGTTAAGCGAAGAAGATTGAACAATTGGACTATATTTTCCGATTTTTTTTTATTTCTTTTTTCTCTTTTGGAACTAACATTTTAGGCTCTCGTCATATCCAAGTGAAGTGGTCTAAGTATAATTCCAATCCCTCTCCACATCAAAAAATTAATTAAAGTAACTCGATTTTCAGGTTTTTTTTTTTTTTTTTTTTCAAATTCATTTCCTTTACTCTCTTTGGATTGGAAATATCCGAGAACATCCCGTGTTCTAACTTCCTGACGGCTTTTCAGTTAATAAAGAAAACTCATCACAAATAAAATGACGGTACATAAACTAACTGAGATCCCTTTCCGAAATATACCCTCGTTATTTGAATATTGCGGGGAGCATATCATAATCGATGAATATACTTATGTACAAAGTTGGGTTCAAACCAAATATGCAACTACTTTAACTCTGCGGAGTGCCGGGTTGCATACGCTTGATTTTGCGGGCGAAATCTAAGATCTGCCCAGGCTTTCGCGATAAAATTGCGAATGGGGGAAGTTGCATTTATTCTTTACACCCTCCTCTTTTAACTAAATTAGGGAAAATTTAAATTTTTAGTTCTTTTACGTGTAAAAAAATCAGGTTATCTGGTATGGTCATATTTAACAAATGGCGGATGAAAGACTGCCTGAGGAGGTACTGAAATGGTTTCCTCTTGGAAGGAAACGTATTGGAGACGCCCAGCAAAATCTTGGATTGGTGGCATTCAAAATGAAATTTCGAGGATCTATTTACCAGATGACCTATATTCCGATAGACAAGGATGGCGATTAGGTGTAGCAAAGCGCCCGCCGGGAGCACTGTAAAAGCGACGGGTAAATAACATAAAAAAATACGCCATGATCATTGATCATTGATATTATGGTCAAATCAATTGAAAGCAATTTTTTGTAGATTGACTAATTAGGAATCAAAACATTTGTTTAAAATAAAACAATGTAATGTTGTCTAATAATATTTAAGCAATTTTTTTTTTTTTTTAAATTGAATACGCCTCAAGATATTCAATATCCGTTCCCTGCGGTAAACCCGTTTCACGATCGTGAATTTTTATGACACATAATAATTGTAAGGAGCCTATTGTGTTAAATATATAAAGAAATGAGCGAGCATAAACAGTTAAGGAAATTTGAGAAGGAATGATGAAATGCCGTAGAAAAAGTAGATGTCATTGCACTCATGCATCATTTTGTCAGTCGGACGGACGAAAATGAAACACAAGAAGACGCGGCCGAATTAGAGCCACCATTCAAAGCCTGGACAAGACTTTGAAATCGAGGAGGTTGAGCGAATTGTCGCCGTCCGTTGAATCAACTCGAAATCGCTGATTCTGAGCGAACTATCCGGCCGTTGATAGTTAACTCAAGATTTCACTTTCATCGGAGAAGAGACCGATCCGAGGTCCTGATTTTAACCGCATGCGTTCCACATCCCCTCGCGCCTCCGAAGGGGTTGACAGCGCGGTACGCGTTCCGATCCCCGTCCAGATTTCAATACCGAGGGAATTCCCGGTACAGTTGCCTCTTGATACCTGAGGCCGAGGCAACTCGGATATGAGCTATTGCGGTCTCTGCTTCCTGGTCCCATCTTGATTGAGCAACATTCTATTGACTTTAAGCCGCAGATATAAATTAAATTTTATTCAATGCTTAAACGAGTTTTGAATGTAAAATAGATAAAAAAAAAAAGTCTAAAGGAAAATTTACTCACAGAAAAAATATCAACATGGATTTCAAAAATTAATAAGGCCACAAAGGCAAGAATAAGAAAATCGTCTTGGAACATTTCTATGGATCAACACATACAATAATAAGACGCGAACCGAACGTTTCCGACTTTCTCCGAATATATACTGAAAGTTCGGTGCGAATAACTGAATGATCGGTTTCCGTGACCTTAAAAGTTAGGTAAAACCTTAAAGAACTCGGTTGGTCGTGTGTTCCAAACGCCGTAATGCCGTTCGGTTCACAAAACCCAATACTTGTTCGGTAAAAATCACCGAACTTTTTTTTTCCAGTGCAATAATATCAGTATGTTCCCATGATGCGACCAACAGATACCAACTTTACATCAAATCTTTATCATGATGGTAAGAAAGTCCAAATTAATATCATCATCATATTACCATATGTGTGCAATGTTGTTCACAACATTTTTTAAAATCAGGTTTATATCATATTGGGACTTGCCATATTGCTAGTATGTTGGTATCATGTTGGTCTTTTAACCCAAGTTGATATCACTTTGATACCATGTTGACATCATCTTGATACCAACATGGGCGGCTTAGACCGTGTTGGTAACAACATGGTCGCAACATGTTACCAACATGGTCATTTTTAGCAGGGCATTGCCATTCAAAGTTTGTTGAACTATTTTCCGTCAGACGCTATTTTTAGGAAGCCTTTATTTTTTTATTTTGAAAGAAATCTGGAACTTATCATAAAGTATTTGAATTTTCTTGACTTTCTTTCTTTCCTTTTTCTTTTTTCGCGAAGGAAGTGGAAGAAATGAGAGAAAGGAGTAAGCGCATTTCTGTAGGAGCCATGGTTCGCGCATGTGTCTCGAGGTTCATCCCAGTGCGCATTCGCGATCGCGGCAGTTGAGCTAAGGCAAAATTTGCTTATTCAGGAATTAAATTAATCAATCGAGCTCTGATTTTGGCTCATATATCCGTAACGAGTCCTCCAGAGCAATTTTCCACCTTGTACGATGGTTATTATTTCTTTATTTTTATATTTTTAAAATTTGAAGTGGGATAATGGCGGCTTCTCAAGAGCAACGAGGAAAGCGATTGTTTACACCAACGAACAGAAAATTGATGGCGAAAAATAACCTATCAGAACCTCCCCAAAAAAAGAATTGGCCTAAATTCGTTTTTCGGTGGTTCTGCGCAGATTTACCAGTCAGACACGACATCTTAAGACGAAAAAAAACTCGGTGAAAGCGAATTTTAGAATTCTACACAACCTGACGTAGAGACATGATTGGCTAAAAAACACAACGATTTTTGATACATCCGAAAATTAACCAAAGACCGGGCAGTGGGCGATTCGCTCAAGGTCACGGAGACATAGGGAATTACATGGATTACATTTTGCAATAAGGAACCACTATTTCCGGCTCATTTTAGAAACAACATAAATACCACTGATTTCCCCGTGCAGATACGTGATTTTATGGAGGAACCAGGGATCGTGGTTCCTTATTGCAAAATGTAATCCACATAGCCGTAGCAGCAGAACGATTGAAGACTGGTCTTCAACGAAACAAGACTGGTCTTGTTGCATTAACAAACGGGTATTGTATTCCACACAGACTGAGTTGTTTGGCAGACTAAAAGTCTTGTTCTTGAGACTAGGCAGGTTAAACAAGTTTATCTAGTCTTTACGGCTCTACTATTTTTTTCAGTGTAAGAAAACAAAGTTTGTCTCTAATAAATTACGATTTAAGTCAAAATAATGTATCAAGAATTTTTTTTCAGGGAGAGTCAGAGTTTCATTTCGTAATGAAGCATACACCCTAGATTCTTAGTGGTTCTATTTCCTCCCCATAGTATAACAATGAAAAGTAACAGAAGAAATGAACTTACTATGACGGATAAGATCAGAAACAGCATGGGCAGAATCATCTTTCTGGTTCTTTAAGAAAACCAATTTCCTAAAAAACACTCTTGTTTTTACATTCTATCCTGGGAATCAGATATGCAGATTCATTACAGATTAGCAATTAGAGTCAAACATTATAAAATTATTAGTTAGATTAGGTATCCTTTTAGTTTTTTTGTGGTCAACGTTGTCATGTAAAAGAGGTTTCGTTTTCTATGTAATTGTCGTAGATGGGAATATACAAATATCATCACAATCCGACGGCTTCAAAATCGAAACTGAACTTTTACTCTGGCTTTTTTGTTTCTAAAGCCACTCCGACTCACTTGGTGCATCATATCATTATAATTTTAGATGTATAGCGTTGATAAATTCAAAATCAATGAAAATCGAAAACATTGTTTTCATAAAATGAGCGGCCCTCTGATCTCAACTCCTCGTTTTGATGACGATAACATCCATTCTCGTCATGATTCATTTAGATTGTTTCCAATGATACCCTCAACTTTACGACATCCGCCGGTGCATGCTTAGGAGGAACATTTATTGAATTAAAGTCCCAAATCTTCCTCATTTCATTACTTAGATTTATTCAACATGATTACGCTCGCAAGCTGGCACTTGCGTAATAAAGATTACAAAAGGAGTAGTTTGTCTTCATAATCAGTTTCACTGCTTTATCAACACATAGCTGACAAGGAGCGTGAAGATGAAGAGTTACGTATTCGAAGTATACATGCCTCTGGGTCTTTAGATTGTGATCGGAATAACAGATAATGTGGACATTTGGTGGCTTGTTTCGCCTTCTTGGGGTCACCTGCACATCCAATCTCGCCACATAGACAGCAGACCTACCGAGCAGGGCACCCCTCCGCTAGGGTGTCCCTTATTTTTGAAATTTGAGAAAAGTTAAGCTCCCCAGGTCTCAAAACGTGCTATGAGGTGTACAAATAAGGAATGTTTTTTGGAAAAAATTTTAAAAAAATTTTTAGGACTCTCTCAAGCGCCCTAAAGGGCGTCAGTCGAAAACGTTCATTTCTGGTATAGTGAATAGTCAATCCTAGGTGCGAAATTGACAAAGTAACGCCTATAAGGCAAACATTTGGTCCGTTTGGTCGTATCTTTGATCGTTCAGCCGGAAAACCGACTTAAATGGGCGGCAAGTCGAGCCGCGGCCGCGCGCCGCGCGCGGCTGACCGAGACAAGCTTTGCATCGCGCGGCGACGCGCGTGGGTTGTGAGTGAGGAACATGTACTCATACACATGCTAAACGTAGTGCAGGAAGCAACGATGGGGAGGCTGCAAAAAAAGACGAAAAAAAGAAACGGGGCGTTTCGTAATATTAACTTCTCATGTAGTCCAGGCGCCTGGTAGCTAAAAATGAGGCTACCTGGAATTTTGGGTACACAGCGATTTTTTTTGCTTACTTTATGTTTTTTGGGTCGCTGAATCCGAATCCGAAGTTTCCGCACGCGTAGCTGGTGAGCATTTTCCGCTATTTTGAAAAAATGGCCTAAAAAGGCCTTTTTTTTGCGGTTTTTTTGATATAGCGGCTACGGATGAGGAAAAGTCCCGGATTTAGCTAATGTTTTGAATAGCTGACATAATTTGGAAGAAAATGGTGTATACATATGTTAGGTTTGCTTAAAAATTGAGGAAGATACAGCATCGTGAACATCGCGCCTATTCACGTTTTCGCGGCGCACCCCTCAGCGCGGTCCGGCTCGCCGCGGTCCGCCAAGTTCTGAGGCGTTACACGCTTTAAACGGTTTTCGTTTCAATAGTTTTTCATTTCTAACACTCGTAAAACATATTATTGCTTTTTTCTTTATCAGTGTACCCCATTATACCTTTTATTTGTTCCCAATATGTATCTACAGGTTACCATAAATAAAAACTGAGTTGTCCTTTATTTGTAAATTTGTTCTGAATGTAGTTCTCTGTTGTTCATTGATGAAGAAAGGTTGTTAAGAAAATGTTTCTGTAGTTACAGAAAAATGTACTTCATTTAAAGGAAAACATTTACGTATTGAAATTGTCTTTCGTGTCAAAGAAATTTTCTTTAATCTAAAAAGAACATCACTTTATTATCGATACCTAAGACATTAATTTTCTTTACTTAAATTGAACAATTTTTTTAACGGAAGAAGATTATCGTCAAGTAAAAATAATTCGCTTTAGATCAAATAATTTTTCAAACTAAGACAACTTTTTCCGCAATTTTTTTCAGTGTTCGCTCAGAAAGATAAAGAAAGCAAAAGCAGTTACGGAAAAGAGCAATATTTTCTTTCAAAATTTGTGTAATTTTACACATACGAGGTGCATACATGAGGTGCAAAGATGAGGGATATACACGAGTATACCTTTTTACGTACATACATTAATAATAGATCACAATACAATTATCTTGCATATCTCTTTCGCTTAATCGGTGTTGAAGTAGCTAGCGATTACCAACTTTCGGATGGGTGACATTACTAACGGCGATTTGAACGCGTACCTATACTTTTTCGATTGAGATTTTTTTTGCCTCCTTTTGCTTTAATTTCAATTGCATCGCCACAAAGAAAACATCGCTTTGTGAATGGAAAATACACTTTCTTGGGCAAAATCACGGATTGAGACGGTGAATTTTGGCGATTCCACGCTGAAATGTGGCTCTCACTCGTGTAATTTTTACTGCATACCTTATGCACAGTTATTTTATTTCTTTTACGCCCTATCAACTCTACTTTCCCGTCTTGCCGTTTTTCACTAGCTTTGCGAAAAGCACTCACTCCTTTTCTTTTAACGTCTATTGTTTGTTGATTTGCCAACGGTTGGCCACATATAAAACACGAAATTTCAACGTCCATCGCAAAAGTTTAGAAGTACGTGCGTAAATAAATAACACGCTGGTGGAGTCGCGACACGCGTGTTTGGCAGTCATCTGCCCACTGAAGATGCATATTTTGCTGCAGAATTAGTGAAGTCCAGACAGAGTGCAATAAAAATGACACGGAGATAAGAAAATGCTAGGCAGTGCATAATCCTGGAGCCCAGTTGAAACCCGAAGACCGCATCCTAGCCAGGATTGTAGCCCCAGAATACGGGAAAGATAACACCTCGAAAAAAATAAACCATTGAGATAGTGAGTCACTCACGCGGAATCTCGCGAGACATCACAAATACGTTGAGGACGGGGATATTTATCCCGTTTTAGTAAATATTAGTTTATTACTTTTTTGACTTTTGGATCCGTTTGTTCTCTCTTAAGGGTAATACAATCATCTGAGATGAAAAAAGTAGCAATTAATCCAATCTTACTGTATTAAGACATTTTTTCAGGGAGGGATAGCGAAAACGGAAGGGATGATGGAACACATTTCAAGTATAATAAAGCATTAAAATGATTTATTAAATGTTAGAAATGAAAAACTGTTGAAACGAAAACCGTTTAAAGCGTGTAACGCCTCAGAACTTGGCGGACAGCGGCGAGCCGGACCGCGCTGAGGGGTGCGCCGCGAAAACGTGAATAGGCGCGATGTTCACGATGCTGTATCTTCCTCAATTTTTAAGCAAACCTAACATATGTATACACCATTTTCTTCCAAATTATGTCAGCTATTCAAAACATTAGCTAAATCCGGGACTTTTCCTCATCCGTAGCCGCTATATCAAAAAAACCGCAAAAAAAGGCCTTTTTAGGCCATTTTTTCAAAATAGCGGAAAATGCTCACCAGATACGCGTGCGGAAACTTCAGATTCGGATTCAGCGACCCAAAAAACATAAAGTAGGCCAAAAAAATCGCTGTGTACCCAAAATTCCAGGTAGACTTACCAGGCGCCTGGACTAATGCTCAACTGGAAACAAAGAAAAATAAAAATATAAATAAATGAATTGATAAATAAATAAATAAATGAAAATAAAAGGCTAAACACGAGTTGTTGATTCGCTGTTATTGCGAGACCTCGGAGACTCAATGTTGTTCTTCAGAGGGAGGACAATTAAAATTCTGATAAGGCTCTTTAAAATTAATATAAATTGTTCAATGTTTAAAAACGTCTTCGGCATGAAATCAGTTAAGCGTACCATCGTCCAACTTGCGTAGTAACATATTTTTGGCAACAATAGCAATATTAGGTAGTTTAACAAAAGTCAAAGCTTATCAAAATTTTTCGATGTCATTAGCTAGAATTTTTTTGGATATTTTATGAACATTGTTTGTGAAGTGAGACGATACTTGTAGTAAATCTTGAAATCTTGCTCACTTTCAACTTCCTTATTAAATTTTTGCATCAATTTGACGGCCCTTTCAGTATGGTTCTTCACAACTTCCTTTAATAAGGCTCGGTGGATGAATAAGGCGATTCACGCTCTGAAGATCTGGATGTTAGAAATTAGTTCCCCCTTACAGGAGAGAAACAAAAAGGAATTCTTCACGTTAATTTTTAAATTCTACTAACAAGGAGAGCTTCCCAAGTGTAACCGGAATTTCGAGTTGAAATTTCGCATGAAGATACTAGAGATGATTTTAGGGATGCCGTATTCTTTCGTTTTTTCGAATGGGGTCGGGAAAGCCCTCAAAAAAAGGGCTAAAGATGCGGAAAAAACGCGTGCGCTAGCGGCACAAGGTAAACGTAGGTGATAAAGGCTCCGAAACCTTATCAGTACCGCGTGGCCAAACGGTAGCGCGCTCGCCTCGCAGGTGGGAGATCCTAGGATCGGATCCTGATTACAGCTCGTAATTTTATTTTACTTTATGCTTGTTTCTTTTTCACTTACTTTATTTTGCACCATTCGCACCGCAAACCGACTTACGAAGTAGAAAACGTAGTGACTGAAGATTTTTTACATATGCTGATAAAAACTCGAAGTTTCTCTTGGATTGAAACGTTATATATATAATTGAATAAACAAAACACTCTAAAACCCACCAAATTGCGTTGCCAAGCTGAATTTCCGGAGTATCAGTCAAATCTGTATCTGAATCTGACTGATACTCCGGAAATTCAGCTTGGCAACGCAATTTGGTGGGTTTTAGAGTGTTTTGTTTATTCAATTATATATATAACGTTTCAATCCAAGAGAAACTTCGAGTTTTTATCAGCATATGTAAAAAATCTTCAGTCACTACGTTTTCTACTTCGTAAGTCGGTTTGCGGTGCGAATGGTGCAAAATAAAGTAAGTGAAAAAGAAACAAGCATAAAGTAAAATAAAATTACGAGCTGTAATCAGGATCCGATCCTAGGATCTCCCACCTGCGAGGCGAGCGCGCTACCGTTTGGCCACGCGGTACTGATAAGGTTTCGGAGCCTTTATCACC